ATCATGCCAAACTAATCTTATTGATTTTTTTGATTGGGTAACTAAAATTATAGATCAGGGTGGTGCAGTAGACATTGCTTACCTAGATTTCAGTAAGGCTTTTGACACTGTTGCACATAGAAGGCTTATCAATAAACTGCAATCTTTAAGTTTGGATTCCAATATTGTTGAATGGGTAAGGCAGTGGCTGAGTGACAGGCAACAGAGGGTTGTAGTTAATGGAATATATTCGAAGCTTGGACTTGTCACCAGTGGGGTACCTCAGGGATCTGTACTTGGACCCATTCTCTTTAATATTTTTATTAGTGATATTGCAGAAGGTCTTGATGGTAAGGTATGTCTTTTTGCTGATGATACTAAGATATGTAACAGGGTTGATGTTCCAGGAGGGATAAGCCAAATGACAAATGATTTAGGTAAACTAGAAAAATGGTCAGAATTGTGGCAACTGACATTTAATGTGGATAAGTGCAAGATAATGCATCTTGGACGTAAAAACCCAAGGGCAGAGTACAGAATATTTGATAGAGTCCTAACCTCAACATATGAGGAAAGGGATTTAGGGGTGATTATTTCTGATGACTTAAAGGTAGGCAGACAATGTAATAGAGCAGCAGGAAATGCTAGCAGAATGCTTGGTTGTATAGGGAGAGGTATTAGCAGTAGAAAGAGGGAAGTGCTCATGCCATTGTACAGAACACTGGTGAGACCTCACTTGGAGTATTGTACACAGTACTGGAGACCGTATCTTCAGAAGGATATTGATACCTTAGAGAGGGTTCAGAGAAGGGCTACTAAACTGGTTCATGGATTGCGGGATAAAACTTACCAGGAAAGGTTAAAGGATCTTAACATGTATAGCTTGGAGGAAAGACGAGACAGGGGGGATATGATAGAAACATTTAAATATATAAAGGGAATCAACACAGTAAAGGAGGAGACTATATTTAAAAGAAGAAAAACTACCACAACAAGAGGACATAGTCTTAAATTAGAGGGACAAAGGTTTAAAAATAATATCAGGAAGTATTACTTTACTGAGAGGGTAGTGGATGCATGGAATAGCCTTCCAGCTGAAGTGGTAGAGGTTAACACAGTAAAGGAGTTTAAGCATGCGTGGGATAGGCATAAGGCTATCCTAACTATAAGATAAGGCCAGGGACTAATGAAAGTATTTAGAAAATTGGGCATACTAGATGGGCCGAATGGTTCTTATCTGCCGTCACATTCTATGTTTCTATGTTTCTATGTTTCTATGGTTCCGCACCCTGTATGTCACCCCTTTATCATTAAGGCTTTAACTCTGTCAATGGTTGGGTGCAGTTGGGACACTATGACCCTCATTAATTTGATTTAATGCCCCCCCAAAGAATGAAAGAATAAAAAAAGAGTAAAAAAAAGAGATGATTTAAAAAATGTTTACCTGATGGTGATCTTTTGGGAAGAAATATCAGTGAGTTTGAGCAAGAGAGGAAGAAAGAGAGGTGACAAATAAACAATAAAGGGTATAAATAATAGAATAATTGATGTTTACTTTTTATCTAAGGTTACAAACCGGAGGCTCATATATGCTATACTTTATTCATGAATCAACCAGCAAACAATGTACAGGTATTATGTTCATGCATATCGCTAGGGGAGAACTTGGTGTGGCATAGCTTCAAATCTCAGAGACTTCTGCTGCCGTGCTAAAAATGTTGAGTCTCAGCTGGGAGCAGAAGCAGCACAGATTAGATAGATCACTCTGCTGCTATCACTCCAGGCTGACACCCAACAAACAGACCGAGTAGAGAGAGCAGCATAGCAGCAGTAGCCCCCAAGATTCAAAGGCACTCTATAGTGGTTCTTGGAGAACCCCTAATATTACTAATACTTATTACTAATATTATTTGTAACAGTGACTTTTTGGTGAAATATGTTGATGGTCCAGTGGGTAGATTATGTTTGAAATGTTAAAGGATCACTATAGTGTCAGGAAAACAAACTTGTTTTCCTGACACTATATAACCCTTAGGTCCCCCCCACCCTCAGCCCTTAAAACCCCTTCAGCCACTTACATTAATCCAGCGCCAGGCTCCTTTGGCGCTGGTGACCTCTCCTCCCCCACCGACGTCAGCTCCCGAGTGGAGCGGAATGAGCATGCAATTAGTTACAATTACATGTTTGTTAGTCTACCCATTGTAAAGTGCGATGGAATTTGTTGGCGCTATATAAATAATAATAATAATAATATTTAGAGATTTGGCAGATAAAGCCTCTTTTAGGCCACATCATCTAGACAATGCCAAGCATCATGGTGATTTTTCCTGCATTACATAACGCTTTACATATATTAATTGCAATGACATCAGCATGCCAGGCAATATTCTGTGATTAAGTTTTGTCTATTCTGAGCAATGTAAAAAATTGCTTGATGTAGATGAAACATTTTACATTAAAATATGTTTTTCTCCTAAGTATTTTTATAGTCAATAAAAATCAGTCTGCTCACTCATCAGTTGTCTACTCACTATTCTGGGGGACACAATGAATCTTGTCATCAGTCCAATAGTAGCAGTAAACTAACAGAAGTGAAAGTCTCAGAATAACAAACAATGCTTCAACTTTGGGCAGACTAGATGGGCCGAATGGTTCTTATCTGCCGTCACATTCTATGTTTCTATGTTTCTATGTTTCTATGTTTCTGTTGAGATCTTTGTCACGCTATTTACAAAGAGGTTATAACATTGCTTTTCGTTCTAGTGCATCAGTAAATTTTGGGTAGGGTTTTTATCAGGCAGGAAACAAATGGGTTTTTCTCATAACAACACAATCTATAATTACAAAGATGCTCCTTTCACTCAGGAAACACAATGGAATTCAAAAACGCAAACCTTTTTTTTACATAATGCAAACTGTGGTCCAGCATCCCAGACCACAAACAGGTAGCTGCATTTTTCTCTTTTAGAAAATTACCAGGTAGATATATATTTTTTATTATAAGTTATTGTTTGCGTCATATGTTTCTATTTTGAAAGCAAGTGTGAGAATGGGCATGGTGTAACAGATTTTCATGCATTTCAAATAAAACATATATTTTTTTTAATTACAATGGATTTCTAGTTTGCACAGCCTAGTATACGTTTGGTGCATCAAAAAATCCAAGACATTCTTCTAAATGAACTGCAGTTCCAGTACTATTGAATTCCTCAGATTTCTTGAGTAATCTCTACTTTGTGAGTTTGAGGCTTGTTACTTGACTGTTGTGGGCACAATAACAGCTACAAGAAACAAACTTTAGGGAAAAAAACAGGTTGCAACAAATTCTTCTCTTATATGTTATTTCGATACTTTATTGCTGTCAGTATTGATTTTTAGCAGTATATAATCCTAGTGTGTGTTCAAAATCATATTCATATATTGAATGTTAATATACACAGATGTGACAGGCTACAGGCTAAAATGTTCAGAAATCATAAAGAGTTGTGGTGCTTTAGTTGATAATTGAAGCTGCTCGGCTCTAGAGAAAATTCAGTCAATTAAATGTAAAGTTTAGTATAATCATGTCGTATAGTTGTGTATTAATTGTGTTTGATTAACTTAGCATGGATAATATCCTCAAGAAACTGAGATGAACAGTTACAATTTAAATAATATAAAATAACTTATTTAATACCAACAGTTACAAAGCCATATTAATAATACATTTATTATTATTATTATTATTGGCAATTATATAGCGCCAACAAATTCTGTAGTGCTTTACAATAGTATAGGAAGGGGAGATTTAACAATAAATTAGATTATTACAAAAACTTACAGGAACGATAGGTTAAAGAGGACCCTGCTCAAACAAGCTTACAGTCTAGAGGTAGATTATAACATGCTAAATCAAATCTCTTAAATAAAAAAAACAGCAAAGCCAACATTAAGCAATCCATTATGCTGTGGATGAAGTATGCTCTGAACATTAAATGGACTGAATGAATGCTTAAACTAATAATTATTTGTGCTGTACAAATTGGTGAATTTTGATACACTTGTTTAGTACAAAGTCTTCTCTCAATGATTTGCAGGTGCTGTAATGGTTAGGCTCACAATTTACTAATGTACCCACAGTTTACTAATGTGAAAGAGACCTTATGCTATTTACTGAACTAAATAGATTTCCTGTGAATCTTGGCTCCGATTAGCATCAGTTAGCAGCTCACTATAGCTGCATTGTATCTTATAATGTAATGGCTCTGAATGCAAGCTTCAGTAATAGATGGTTTGCTTGAATAATTTAGCAAGCAACAAAAATATAAACCGTACATTCTTTGAACAGTCATTAACAATGTATATGAATATATACTGCTCCAATACCACTAACAAGTAATTCTGTTGATCACATCATTCTAAAAGCAATAATTCTCCACATTTCTTTAATCCACCAAATTAAGATTTTCCATTTTTTTCTAATTTCACTTTTATTGGGAGATGATGAAAACAGAAGCTTAGTGAATAGGGCCCACTCGTGACCGGCGCCCTGGAACTTTTGTTTTTTAATAAGTTCTTCAAATAAAAGTGAGTTTTAAAAGTGGGCCCTGTCACGGCAAGGGTGCATAATTTATTATTACACTATGGAATATTGTCCTTTAATGTAAATTGTGTAGTGCATTAAGTACCTGCTGGCCTGTCATAGATAGTATTGTCAATGTCAAAAGGGGTTAATTTGATTGTATGGAGGTCAAAAGGGGTTACATCTTTTGAATCTGGGCCTCCCCCCACCCCCCCTGAGGTCAGATGGCAGAAGGGGTAGTGTGCATGGCATTGGAATGTGAACTTTTATTATTTAGCAAAGTGCAACTAGCACAAATAGCTCTCTGGCACTTTTAAGGGCACAAATGAGCACAAACGAGCAACAAAATAAACAAAAAAAGACGCCAAAGGCGATGGCTACCCACAGAACAAAAAAAACGACGGCCAAAACGGACAAAATCAACTTCTTCAGCCATAAAGGCCAAACTCCGCAAACAGCCTCACAGTCGGACGCCCAAGATGGCGACGGGGATTCGGACTCGAGCCTCCCCATAGCGGACAACACACAAACCGACCAAATCACGAAAAGCTTCCTGGAACACGCACTGAATACCTTGTCCAACAAATTGATAGCCTCATGGCAACAAACGGCAGACGCCATGCGGAAAGAAATGCAAGATCTGGGAAAGCGCACCTCCAAAATCGAAGACAAGATGGGGGACTTCGCTTCTGCACACAACAACATGGCGGATCATGTCCAACATTTGGAGGAAAAGGTGGAACGCCTGGAGTCGCAAATGAATGATGCGGAAGATAGGGCACGGCGGAATAACATCCGGCTCCGAGGAGTGCCAGAGTCGGTGCAACCGGAAGACCTTCAGGCCTATGCTCGAGGCCTGATGAGAGCTTACGCGCCGGAAATACCGACGGATATGATGTTAATCGACCGGATACATAGGATCCCTAAGCCTGCTCACCCGCCAGACTCCACGCCACGAGACGTGCTGCTGCGGGCCCATTATTTTCATGTTAAGGAGCTGGCCCTTACGGCGAGCCGCAACCGCAACCACCCGCACGAAGACTTCCCCACAGTGAAGGTATTCAATGACCTCTCGACAGCAACGCTGAAAAAACAACGGGCATTCCATCGGGTCGCAGAAGCGTTACGGCAACATGGCACCAGATACCGATGGGGCTACCCGACTAATATGCTGATTCAACGAGGAGGTACTGTCACGAGCGTGGGCTATAGGCCCAGCCGAGACAGTGGGGAGAGTGTGGAAGTGACAGGGTTAATGACACCAGACCCCTGGTTACCTGTTGCTAGTCCCAGCAACCACTCAATTAACCCCTGCAATCCCTTCTACACTAACTCCCTTAGTACACTTGACTGCCACCACCAAGACTTTTAAACCCGGGCGTCTTAGGTTACCCCACACACAGGAGAATTATAGTATCACCGTTCTACTTTTACTGATAAAACATATATAGTTAACCCTTTTTGGTAACGTGTTTACCTGAGCTTTCCTCTGGAGAGTGAAGCTCATAGAGAACAGAGACACAAGCTGATTAAGTAAACATTTAATCTGACAAAAAGGATTCACAGTGCTGAGTACAAAATACAGAAATAAATGACATACAGATAACAAATTGCAAAACAGTACATAAAATAAAATAGGAGAAAACACAAGAAATTCCTTACATATATTTACCCCATATAGAATTCTTGTGGGAGTCTTAGATGGTATAGATCTCCTAGAAGTTACTGACAAAAGAAAAATGAATAACTGGCTTCCCTGGATAGTCCAACACCCTCATATATCTAAACTAGTTGTTTCTCAGTGGGCAGACCCCTGGGGGGGGATCAGAGGGGGCTGGTCTGGCAGTCTATTGCCCACTCTATGAAATTCCTTGTGTCCAGCTCTGGTGATGGCTATCTAGATGTTTTATGGTCTAGGCCTGGTGCAAGATCAAAGACCATAATAAACGTCATCCCAAGGTTTACAAAAAAAACAACTCTTAACATATATAAACACACATCAAACACCAACTCATGCTTTTGGCATGACACCTCCCCCTTAAGATGGTGGACAGAAAAATGCAGCCACAGGCTGATTTATCTGTCTACCATTAACCCTCTAGTTGCCGAGACAGGCCATCTGCATTCCCATGCAAGCTGCCCTTTTTGTGTTGGACAGTGAAATTATACTGTTGGAGGATAGGGCTCCAATGGAGCAGTTTACCATGGTTACCTGTCACCTGCAGCAGGTTGTGATCAGTCCATACCACAGCTACACCCTCAACAAACATGCCTGATTTGCCTGTTTCAATTCCCCATCGATCTCTGGTAACATCCCTTAAACCACACCCACTGCGCTCATGTAGTAGCTGTAAGGGGAAGAAACCAATGGATTTCTGCAGCACTCCCCGGTAAGCACACAAAAAAGCAGACAGAGAACACTCCCAGGATAGATGTGCTGTATCAACACCCATCATCTCTTTTATTTTGCGGTCTGTCTGCTGGGCTTGTTGCACTATCAGACTCTGAACCTTTGGTTCACAATCAGAAAGTTGCTTAGGTGTATGCGTGAGTTGTGATAAACTGACAAGGTTCCTGGTTCCTCCAACACTATATTTCCCTGCAGCCCTCCTTCCTGGACCCACAGGCTGAGTCTGTCCGTGCCCCTCACTTTCACTCCAGGTCATCACACATACAGAACTTTGGAAACTGGCTAAGTCTGGCGCAGAGTAAAGCTCACACACCCTCTGCCCTCCCTCATAGCCTTGCTGTCCCTTCACATTTTCACCCAGTGCATCACATACATCTGCTACAGGCACATATTGGCACATATATTCCTTCAGGCCCCTCTCACTGGAAGGCTTTTCCCATACATTTTCACAGGACACATTTGACCCCCCTTGATCAGATACAGAATTTTGCACACACTCACATAATTTCTTCTCCAAGGCAGGCCCTCCTCTCACAATCTCACATAGCACCTCAGACTGTCCTGCTGCAGCCCTGACCCACTGTTGACTTGTTACCACTGCGACTAGTGGTACACATCCCTGGCTCTCACCTTCCTCCTCTCCCTTACTCTCTGACATCCCAGCCTCACAGTATTTTAATACAGGCACATCACTACTCACCCCTATCTCACATTTGGTAGACATCACTGGTTCAGTTACAGGTAGATATTTATCCACACCCTGCTCTCCCTCCCAGCAATCACACTCCACAATGTCTCCCAAAGTTTCACACAATACCTTAGGTGGAGCAGTCAGCCCTTCTGGCTCACAAACAGTGTCCGCTGGAGCATAGTGACAGAGCATCCTGCCCAAATCATTCCCCAACAGAACATTAACAGGGATATCCTCTGAAATCCCCACTTCCCGCAAACCTTTGCCCGCACCCCAATCAAGGTACACACGTGCCAAGGGCACAGCGGGGCATACACCCCCAATTCCTTTGATGGACATGGTTCTTCCAGGGATTATGTCCTCCGTATTCACCACTTCAGGTCGCACCAGGGTGAAGGAAGCTCCAGAATCTCTCAGTCCCATGGTCACTCGGTCACCCACAATTACACTCTGCAGGTTATCCTCTTGTTTCCCCACGGACCCACCCACAAGCAATACTGATGGTGCCCCTCCACGGACTGGTGAGGGCATATTCCTAGTGGGGCAAGTCCTGCTCAGATGACCAATCTGGTTGCATCGAAAACAATGGCGGGCATCTGACTCACTTGACATAGCCCCGGCTACGCTGGCAGTTGGCGGTGAAGTTCTCACTGCAGATCCTACAGGTGGTGTTTGAACTGTAGCTTCTCTCCAGGTCGAAGTAGCAGCTGACACAAGTCCACGCCTGGATGTGGGTGCATGGATGTCGGCATAGTCATCTGCCAGTTCTGCAGCAGCCCTAGCATTTTTTGGCTTTCTTTCCAAAATCCACTCTTGTACATTAGGGCTCCGGGTCTGCAAGAACTGCTCCAGGACCATTAAGTCATTAAGGGCTTCATAGATAGTAGCTTGTACTCCTGTTACCCATTGCCGGAACGTGGTTTCTAATTGTGCAATATATAGAATGCAGCTGGATGATGGGCATTGCTGCATACTCCTAAACTTTTTCCTGTAAGACTCAGGAGTAAGGTTAAAAGTTTTTTGCAATGCAGATTTGATTGCCTCATAGTTGTTATCAGTCTCTGGGGGAAGGGACACAAACACATCCAAGGCTTTCCCTTTCAATTGTGGAGTTAAATATCTGCCCCACTGGTCTGAGGGTAGTTGATGCTGCCTGCATACTTTCTCAAAACTTTTTAAAAATACATCCAAATCTGTCCCTTCTTCGAGGGAAGGAAAATCATCCTTACGGAGCCTACGTGTGCTGGACTCTGATGCATTGCTGTTCAGTGAGGACTGAAGGGTAAATTGCAGTTTGGCAAGTTCCAGCTCATGTCTCCTTTGTGCGTCCCTTTCGGCTAGCCTCTCTGCAGATTCCCTTTCTGCAGCCTGCTGTTGGATCATCACATGCAGGGCCTCCTGAGGATTTGCAGCCATCAGTTGCCGAAATAAATCAGTTGAGCAAATGTCCTTAATGTTTTGAGGGGTACAACCACCAGGCATTTCAGTAAGCAACACTCCTGCAGTAGTAGGGAGCTCGGTAACCCTTTCAGTATCCGTCTCTGGCTGGAAAATATGGCTGTCAGCCTCCACAAGGTCAGCAATAAGTTGTGCCTTATTTTTGCCAAAAGTTGGTAAATTCTTTTCTTGGCATAACAATTCCAAGGCCTCTTTTGATTGTTTGCGATAGGCCTCCATATTCACAAATAGGATAGAGAAAGAAAAACAAAAGATGGGAGGGGAGAACTGTTTTGCACTTTGTATGTATTTTAAATCAGCACTGAGCTTGGTCTTTGGAAATTACACAAAAACAAGTATGCAATTTCTTTTAGTGCTAAGACCCCCTTTACAGGTAAAATCTAGCAAGCACTAAAAATCTCTAAATATATCCCACTAGCTGCCAGTTTGTCACGAGCGTGGGCTATAGGCCCAGCCGAGACAGTGGGGAGAGTGTGGAAGTGACAGGGTTAATGACACCAGACCCCTGGTTACCTGTTGCTAGTCCCAGCAACCACTCAATTAACCCCTGCAATCCCTTCTACACTAACTCCCTTAGTACACTTGACTGCCACCACCAAGACTTTTAAACCCGGGCGTCTTAGGTTACCCCACACACAGGAGAATTATAGTATCACAGTTCTACTTTTACTGATAAAACATATATAGTTAACCCTTTTTGGTAACGTGTTTACCTGAGCTTTCCTCTGGAGAGTGAAGCTCATAGAGAACAGAGACACAAGCTGATTAAGTAAACATTTAATCTGACAAAAAGGATTCACAGTGCTGAGTACAAAATACAGAAATAAATGACATACAGATAACAAATTGCAAAACAGTACATAAAATAAAATAGGAGAAAACACAAGAAATTCCTTACATATATTTACCCCATATAGAATTCTTGTGGGAGTCTTAGATGGTATAGATCTCCTAGAAGTTACTGACAAAAAGAAAAATGAATAACTGGCTTCCCTGGATAGTCCAGCACCCTCATATATCTAAACTAGTTGTTTCTCAGTGGGCAGACCCCTGGGGGGGGATCAGAGGGGGCTGGTCTGGCAGTCTATTGCCCACTCTATGAAATTCCTTGTGTCCAGCTCTGGTGATGGCTATCTAGATGTTTTATGGTCTAGGCCTGGTGCAAGATCAAAGACCATAATAAACGTCATCCCAAGGTTTACAAAAAAAACAACTCTTAACATATATAAACACACATCAAACACCAACTCATGCTTTTGGCATGACAGGTACCTTCAAACCCGTCCACTCCCCAGAGGAAGACTTCTAAAAGAATGGGGCATACCGCTTGGCCCGTCGGAGTCCACTGCACAGCCGATTGAGAAGACGACACGGGAGTGGAGCGCTGCCCGCAAGAGACTCACCTAATGGACACAATGGCATGGGCCGCAAGTATTAGCCGCGCACAACACCACAACCACACTGACCTTCACTACATTACACGATTCATGTACACGCACTTGCCATAGATGTTGTTCTTTCAGTCTCCCTACTCCACACAAGTACATAT